GGCAGGAGATGGTCAGCATTCCTGATAACAGCAACTGTACGACAAAAAAAAACTGCGGTTGCCAACCCGCTCGCCAAGCGTGGCAACTATGGCAATATACCCCCCATGAATTACACAAATAGACGGCCCCCAGTCCCCGGTGGCCCCGCTATTCCTGGCTACGGTGGCGACCATGGTAACGGCGGGGCAGGGGGTGCTAAGAATCTCCGGTGGAGGTTCGGTTGCCACCTACGACGACTCGACCTGGCAACATTTAACGCACGCACACTGAGGACTGACGAGAAGATCCTGGAGCTGGAAGAAGAGATAGACAAGTTGCGCTGGAGTATTATAGGATTATCCGAGGTCCGAAGAAGGGGGAGGACACGGTGATTCTCGAATCCGGCAACTTGTTCTATCACCGGGAGGGCGACCATCTGTCCCAAGGAGGTATCGGATTTATCGTCCACAAGTCTCTCGTCAACAACGTTGTAAAGATTGGGAGTGCGTCGACGAGGGTCGCGTACCTGATACTCAGAATCACCAAACGGTATTCGCTGAAGGTCATAAAGGTTTACGCATCAACCTCGGCACATTCCGAAGAGGAGGCGGAGGAAATGTATGAGGATATTTCCAAAGCCATGCATTCCTCCAAAACCCACTACACGGTGTTGATGGGAGACTTCAACGCAAAACTAGGCACAATAGAAAACGGTGAGCTGAAGTTAGGGAAATTTGGAGTAAGGCAATGGAACCGAAGGGGCCAGCAGCTGGCCGACGTTATGGAGAAAGAGGGACTCTTTATGATGAACTCTTTCTTCCAGAAGCGGCCCCACAGGAAGTGGACCTGGTCGAGGCCCGACGGTTCGACAAAAAATGAGATTGACTTCATTATGACGACCAGACGCCAACTGTTCAGTGATGTCTCAGCGATCGCAAGGGTGAAAACTGGCAGCGATCACCGAATGGTTAGAGGCACACTGAACCTAAACGTTAAGTTGGAGAGGTCTCGTCTAATGAAGTCAACGCTCCGTCCCCCCTCGTGCTCTAATCCAAAATCCCGAAAACTATCAGCTCGAGTTACACAACCGCTTTCAGTGCCTACAAGATTGCAATGCAGTGGACGATGTGAATGACAAGCTCGTGGAAACCGTCCATGCGGTCGGAGCTAAGTTCTGCAAGACCCGCCGCAGAAGAACACAAAAACTCTCCGATCACACTCTTAATCTCATGGCTGTTAGATGGGAGATGAGGCTGCAATCGTCAACAGATTTGACAGCATACAGGCAACTGAACAGACAGATCTCCAAATGCATGCGGCGAGACTTACGCAACTTTAATACTGCTCGTATTAAAAAAGCGATCGAGCGGAACCAGGGCTCCAAAGTCTTTGCCAGAGATCTGTCTGCCCGTAAGAGCCAACTGTCAAGGCTGAAGACTGAGTGTGGCAGCATCGTTTCCGGGACACCTGAGATTTTGAGTGAGATTGAGAGGTTCTATGGGCAGCTGTACACATCATCGTTGGAGCCACACGCAAGTGTGAGTAACGATCCAAGAGCAAGTCTTATCCGACACTATTCCGATGATAACCCGAACGTCAGTCTGAGCGAGATTATAATGGCTCTCCAGCACCTTGAAAACGGCAGGGCCCCAGGCGAGGATGGAATTACAGCGGAGCTTCTGAAAGCGGGTGGAACACCGGTACTTGAAGTCCTTCAGAAGCTCTTCAATTCCGTCCTCCATGGTGGCACTACTCCAGAGGCGTAGAGCAGAAGTGCGGTGGTCTTGTTCTTTAAGAAAGGCGACAACGCTCTCTTGAAGAACTACAGACCGATTTCCCTTCTGAGCCGCATCTACGTGCTGTTTTCGAGAGTCATTACAAATCGTCTCGCACGCAGACTCGACGACTTCAAGCCTCCCGAACAAGCCGGTTTCCGAAAAGGCTTCAGTACCATAGACCACATACATACCCTGCGGCAGATTGTACAGAAGACTGAAGAGTACAATTTGCCACTTTGCCTGGCGTATGTGGACTATGAGAAAGCCTTTGATTCCGTCGAAATTCGGGCGGTGCTGCAGTCCCTTCAGCGGTGCCAAGTTGACTGTCGGTATATCGAAGTGCTGAAGTGTTTGTACAATAGGGATACGATGGCTATCCGAGTACAGAACCAGAGCTCGAAACCTATCCAACTGCAGAGAGGTGTAAGACAGGGTGACATTATATCCCCGAAACTCTTCACCGCTGCTTTGGAAGACGTTTTCAAGCTACTGGACTGGAAAGGATACGGTATTAACATCAATGGCGAGTACATCACTCACCTTCGATTTGCCGACGATATAGTCCTTATCGCAGAATCGCTGGAGGACTTAAGCACTATGCTCAATGACCTCAATAGTGCCTCCCAACGGATAGGTCTTAAGATGAACATGGACAAAACAAAGATCATGTTTAATGTCCATGTCACACCTATGCCGTTAGTTGATGGGAGCACTATGCTCGACTCGTTGACGAGTACATTTACCTGGGACGACTAGGTAAGTCCAACTTCGACCGAGAGTTCAATCGACGGATTCAACTCGGCTGGGCAGCGTTCGGGAAATTACGACACATCTTCTCGTCAGGTATACCTCAATCTATGAAAACTAAAGTGTACAACCAGTGCGTGTTGCCAGTGATGACTTACGGATCAGAGACGTGGTCCCTCACTGCTGGCCATATGAGGACGCTCAAGGTCGCTCAGCGAGCTATGGAGAGGGCTCTGCTCGGAGTTTCTCTGCGTGATAGACTCAGAAATGAGGATATCCGCAGTAAAACCAGAGTGACCGACATAGCCCAACGGATTAGTAAGCTGAAGTGGCAATGGGCCGGCCATATAGCTCGAAGAACCGATAACCGATGGGGAAGAAAGGTTCTCGAGTGGCAGCCTCGTACCGGTAGGCGTAGTGTAGGGCGGACCCCCACTAGATGGAGTGACGACCTGGTAAGTTATGCAGGAAGTCGATGGATGCAGGTGGCTCAGGACCGTGCTTTGTGGCATTACTTGGGGGAGGCCTATGTTCAGCAGTGGACTTGTGAAGGGCTGTGATGATGATGATGATGATTATGACTCATTATACTCTTTATTGATCGCTCATTATAACTCTATAAAAATTACGTATTTACTTTATAAAGTTTAAATATAAGTTTTAATTCTTTTTTTAAACTTGTGGGAAGTAGTATAGTTGAATATAGTAACGTTACATACTTACTTTATTTGGTTCCACTCCTTGGTACTGGGCCTCCGTTATTTTTGAAGGATTATGGAGCATTTAGTACACCGAGCTGCATCAGTATTTTTTTTAACGAATTAGTGAACCAAACTAACACACATATACAACAGGTAGACTACCTGATATACTACCCGTGGTAAGTAAATGCTGTCTATTATATCAAAATGCAGATGCGTTGTCACCCCTGAGGACCTTAGTCCTCAGGGGTGACAACGCGTGTAACGTGAGTATAGAGAAACATCATGATTACATCTTAATGTAATCATGATGTTTCTCTATACTCACGAAACGAATCACAGCAGCATTAACCTGCTATTTCACACGAGTATTCTGTGAGAATGTGGTCCTTTCCGTTCAAGCCGACCCATTGATGTTACAACCAGAATACAGCTGAAGTTAAATCAGTACGTTAAATTACAATGAACAAATAATTTCATTTGATACCAGCGGTGAAAGAACTCAGATTGCTACAGTATTTTGACATGGAGCTACCACAGCTGAACTTAGGTATTTAAATGGCAATTCTTTTACACGAGATACAACACAACAAAGTCCTATAAAACCCATTCAAGGATAGAGAACATGACGACATGAGACCTAAAGTAATAATTAATGTTAAGTAATTTTTGATGTATACGTCGTTTGATAAATATTGAGAAATAAAAATTTTTCCACTAAGTTTGAGCTTTTACTGAAAATTATTTCACGTGAATTAAAATTTGATCATTAAAAAATCCTATAGATTCAGTGGAGAGAGCTAATTACTATTTTTCAACTTTGGGTAGAAAATTAGCTGATAAAATTCTAGCAACCGGTGCTAAACCTGCTAATGTTAATACTATACCCTGGTCGCTTAATTCATTTGTGCTCGATTCTCCTGACGAGTTAGAAGTAGAAACAATATTGATGGGTCTTAGAAATGATTGTGCTATTGGTTGGGATTCCATTCCTGCTTGCTTCCTTAAAATGACCAAGGATAAAATACTTCTGCCACTCACAACCCTTTTTAAAATCTGTTTTGAACAAGGATGCTTTCCAAAAGTTTTTAAAAGATCTCTCATTACTCCTGTTTACAAGAATGGGGCTCGGGACGTTGTTAAAAATTACCGGCCGATCTCTGTGCTATCTGCACTTTCAAAAATCTTAGAAAGGATGCTTAATAATCGTTTGGTTAAATTTCTAAACAAATATAATATCTTATCTAATATGCAGTTCGGATTCAGAGCGGGTGTTAGTACAGAAGATGCTGTTCGTAACTTGACCGAATTTGTAACAAATAAACTGGACCATAAACAGAAGTGTGTAGGGATTTTCTTAGATTTAGCCAAAGCTTTCGACACCGTTTCGATACCCATTCTTGTAAACAAACTAGAAAAAATTGGAATAGGAGATTCTGCCCTTTCCATTTTTAAGGATTTTTTATATGACCGTATGCAGAGAGTAAAAATAAAAAAAAATTATTAGCTCAGACACCTGTGTCACATTTGGAGTCCCTCAGGGCAGTATCTTGGGACCAAGCCTCTTCTTAATTTACATCAACGACCTGTGCTCAATGACACTAACTCAAGGCAAGCTATTTACTTATGCTGATGATACAGCCTTAATTTTCTACGGAGAGACTTGGCCTGAGGTCCAGGAGTTTGCGATGAGGGGTCTTCAATCTGTGACAAATTGGCTTGAGGAGAATCTACTGACTCTTAATATATCAAAGTCCACCTATATGCAGTTCCATATAACCAACACCCAAACTGTTAACGATATACAACTAACAGTACACTCTTGTGGTTTACAGTCAACAGATACTTGCCTTTGCCCTAAAATGACGAAATCCAAATCAATTAAATATCTCGGAGTAATTATAGACGAGAAACTAAGCTGGCTCCCACACATAGACCTTATTTCATCGCGCACTAGGATTCTTATTTGGACATTTAAAAGGCTAAGGCACATCGCTGACTTTGATTTATTGAAAACTGTATACTACGCCTTAGCACAATCAATTATAGGTTATTGTATAGTTGCCTGGGGTGGAGCATGCAAAACATTTATGATAAAATTAGAAAGAGCTCAAAGATGTCTCCTAAAAACTATGACTTTTAAACCGTTCAGGTATCCTACAAATCTGCTTTACCAAGAATGTTGACTGTTAGGCAATTGTATATCCAACAACTGATCTTAATGAAACATGCTCTAACTCCTTATAACCCTGAGATCTGTCGTAATAAACGCAGAATACCGGATGTAATGATTATTGGCAGATGTCAAACTGCTTTTTCTAGGCGACAAAGTTCATATCGATCCTCAGTGCTTTATAATAAATTAAATAGAAATCTAAATTTTTATCCTCTTTCCAGACATGAATGTAAAGTTAAAGTTCGAGAATGGTTATTGTCACTTGATTATAGTAAAACAGAAAATATAATTTGTTAACATGTAGTAATGTATGTCGTATAACAAAAGTATAATAAAATTATAAAATTTTAAAATTATGAAATTAAAAATAGCAATCTTTGTTTAAAGCATCTATTTATTCATTATAGGTTATAATGAATAAAATATATATTCTGTATGAAATTATATAATAATATATTCTATATATTCTATGTATATATATATATATATATATATATATATATATATATATATATATATGTGTGTGTGTATGTATATGTATATACGCGTGTGTATGTATATGTATATATATAAGCATTAAGTTAAAGTATATGTTTCGTTGTAAATAAATACATTCAATTAGCTAAACAATTACTTAAAAATGTAAAGCTTAGTTACTTAATTAATTGTTAAGACTAAAATACTGTTGTCACAACACTGGGAGAGGCCACTGATTCCTAAGATACAGACTTGTCTAGTTTGGGAATCAGAGTCTTCACTCTATTATTGTACTTTTATTTGAATAAATGATTATTATTATGTGGGGTATCTATATAGTTTTCTCATCTGGTTGGGTTCTATAAATATATAATTATAAATGAAAATGAAAAGATAAATATACATAAATATCAATAACATAAAATAAATATAAAAATACATAAATAAATAAAAGCCCAACCGGATGGAGGCCCTCGGCAGGGGAGACCAAACGGCCGAGGGTTAGGGGGAAAGGGAAAGAAACCAGCGGACGATGCGGGCGGTATCGAGGAGCACCGCCTTCTGCATTTGAGCCCGGAGCGGTCCGCCACGTAGTCCCAGTCGCCTCAGATGACCCGAGAGGCTGACTGGGATTAGCCCGTTTGCAGAGACGACTACAGGAATAATTTCGGTCGGCAGACCACCCCACATGTCAGTCACCTCGTGAGCCAGGTCCAGATATTTTGTTTGCTTGTCTGTTTCGGCTTTCACGAGGTTCTCGTCATACGGAATGGTAATGTCGACCAAAAATATCCTTGACTGTGCCCGGTCCATCAGCACAATATCAGGCTTATTCGCAAGAATAGTCCTGTCTGTGATGATGGCCCGGTCCCAATAGAGCCTGGCGCGATCATTTTCGAGCACGGCTTCCGGCAAGTACTTGTAATACGGCAATTTTCGATCCACGAGACCGTATTTCTGAGCGAGCTCCTGGTGAAGAATTCTGGCTACTAGGTTGTGCCTGTGCAAGTACTCAGAGTTAGAAAGCGCCGAACAACCGGAGATGACATGCCTAAGTGACTCACCGGGATGGCGACAAGCTCGACAGATGTCCACGGTGCCATCCTTTAGGATGTATCTCCGATAGTTGTTGGTCTTAATAACCTGATCCTGTATTGCATAGACAAAACCCTCGGTTTCCCCGAATAGATCACCAAAGCGTAGCCAGTAGAGGGAGGCTACTGTGTCTACGAAAGGCTCATGTAGAGCCTTGTAGAACCTCCCGTGGAGCTCCTTCTCCTTCCATACGTTCTCCCGGTCGGAAATTGTCTGCACTGCCGGGTCTTGCCATTGCTCGTTGGCTAAGGATAGAGGGGTAAGTCCTTTATCACTAGAAATGACGTCCTTATAGAATGGATCATCCGATCTCGCCAGGAAGTAATTACGGAGGCTGCACACTTCGCGATTATGCATGGTGAGCGCGCTCAAGAAGCCACGCCCACCATGCTTTCGCGGCAAGTACAGCCTCATTACCGACGATCTCGGATGATGCATCCTCTGGGACGTCATGGTAGTGCGGACTTTTCTATCCAGGGCGTTAAGTTCAGTCTGAGTCCACCTGAGTATGCCAAAGGTATACATGAGGACAGGCATGACCCAGCCGTTATATGCGTGTGTCTTATTCACACCGGACAAAAGGCTGTTAAGCACTTTGGTCAAGCGTGCATAAAACACGTCGCAAACTGACTGTTTCATACCAGCCTCATCGATACCGATGTTCTGTGACATACCCAGGTATCGGTATGTTTCAGCCTCGGAAAGGGTCCTTAAGTTGACGGGCATAGATAAGTCTATGCCCTCAGAGTTAGCAACCCTCCCCCTTTCAACATGGAGGACCGCACACTTATCCGTTCCCAGCTCCATTCCAATAGAATTGCTAAATTCACAAGTGATGTTTAGTAATTCCATAAGATGGGAGCGACTGGAGGCGAATAACTTGAGATCATTCATATAGAAAAGGTGGGTCACTTTTGTACCTCCTTTCCGAAGCTGAAATCCCCTCCCGGAGCCCTCCAGTAAAGTACTGAGAGGGTTCAGGGAGAGGCAAAACCAGATTGGACTCAGACAATCGCCCTGGAAGATACCCCTTCTTATCCTTATGTGGTTCTCCGCAGCCATCATCCGCTCGCCCAGATAGCAAAGGATCGTACTCCATTGCCCCATACACTGCTCGAGGAAGTCTCCAACTGTACAGTCAATTTTGTACAGCTGGAGGACTCTCTTTAGCCATGTATGGGGCACCGAGTCGAATGCCTTTCTGTAGTCTATCCAGGCGGCGGAGAAATTCCGACGGTTGCGTTTCACCACTTTGCCAATGACCGCGTCAATGAGGAGTGGTTCCGTGATTCCACGACCACCGCCCCGGCATCCATTTTGAGCGCGTGACATCACCTGATTTAGCTCCAGGTGACGAGTGATTCTCGCGCTCAAAATGGATGTCAGTGTCTTATATATGGTGGGTAGACACGTGATGGGGCGGTATTTGCTCGGGTCTGTGGTATCCTGATCTTTAGGAACCAAATGAGTGATCCCAGTAGTGAAGAGGCTCGGGAGCGACTTCTGATCGAGAGCCTCTTGAAACTGTCGGGCGAGCACAGCGTGACACACTACGAACCCCTTCAGCCAGTAATGATGCAGCCCGTCGAGCCCCGGACTTTTCCAGTTCGGGGCCCTACGGACCGCCTCAGTCACGTCTTCAGGCGTTATAGTGACGGGGTCCATAGGCGTAACACTTGCACTCTGGCTCGCCACAACTTCCATCCAAGGGCCCTCGCTGTGGTTTACGGGCTCTGACCACAGGCCACGCCAAAATGCGACAGTGTCAGCCTGATCCGGTCCTGGGCCCGCTCCACATACCTTTGGTCGCTCCAATGTTTTATAGAGCCTCTTCTGATCACTCTGGAAGAGACGATTCTGGTTGAACCGCCTTGACCTCTCGCTTAATCGTCGAATCCGCTTCCCCCAAGCAGCGATTTTTTGCTTCAGGTCATCTATGCGCTCCGTTAGTTTTTGCGTGATATCCGGCTGGAACAAATTGATATTTGTCCCAGCAAACGCCATCCTAACGGTGCGCATAATCCTCGGTCTATTATTACCCGACCTGAAGCTTGTCAGTCTGCCGATAAGGGCCCTTGCCTTTGCGATACGGTCCTCAATTCTTTTTCTCCAGGCTGGGATGGCGCTACTTTTTTGAGTAGCACGTCCAGCCACAGGAAGTTTGGCGCCAATAATACGGCATACTGCCAGTGCGGCGCCAAAAAGAATTGAATCCGTCTCGCAAAGGTCCCGGCTGGCTTCCAAATAGGTCACCAGTATTGGGTTAAGAGCCCGCACGACAGCCCGATTTCGCTTGCTAAGGGGTATGCGGGGAAGTCGCGGTCGATTTTCGAGAGGCATGCTGCGCGTTTCCAGCATCGACTCTTCCAATATGCTCCTCATTTTCTCTAGTTCGTGGGAGACTATTCCATCATCGTCCATATTAGCCACAAATGGAATGTTGACGGCAGCATCCTCATATGCAGTTTGTTGCGCATCTAGTGGCGCCGCATTCCCAGCCGTAGCATTTCCATTCGATGAAGGAATAGCCTCACGTCGTAGTCGCTCGAGTTCGGCGTCACCAAATATGTTGGAGCGCAGGATGTACCTAACTCGGTCTGCCAGGTTTTGCTCAGTGACGGATAGAGATGGCTCCAGCTCTGCAAAAAAGCGATGCATCCGAGCCCGATGCGCCAAACATCCAGTTTCTTCCCCTTTTGCCCTAAAATACGCCCGCAGTGCGTTTTCATTCATTGATTTAGACCAACGCATGCGACGTGCTCCACCAGCGGCGGGTGCCGCTTGCTGAGTCCGAAAAGACCCAGCCGACACCAAGCCTTCTGGTGGGGATGATGGATGCGGGGGGCTGCTAGGTGGTCTTGCAACACCCCGCGCTCGGCTGGCGGCCCGCATGCTGTCGCGTCCAGCGCCAGCTCCAGACGCGTCCTGGCGACCTCCAGGCAGCGGCCCTTTGCGCACTATCTTTTTCTCCATCATCCATAATATGGGCGTCCATTAACGGGAGACGCCCAGGCCCGGCACCGTATCGTGGACGGCCATAAGCACAAACGGGTCTTTGCACCCTGAATTCTGCCGAGGCACGGCGCTCACACCTCTCGCAAGGCGCTGACTGACTGCGTTGACATAGCAGTTTTGTCACTTAACTGTTACGTCAGCTGTTATTATTATTATTATTATTACTTCGTGGATCTAGATTTGTGTAATGTTTTATAAGTTTTTCTTTAGAAATATTACAATGAAACAAAACTTTATTTTTTACATTTCTGTACGCTTATTCTTCATAATAACAATTTAGCTGTATGTAGTTACGTACAGCTATCTTATGTAGCTATACGATTGACAGAACAAAGACAAAATAACAGTAGTACCTGACCTTTCTCGCATTTTGCGTTGCTTTCCGTCAACAAGCCAGTGAGTATTTTAAACTTGAGGCTCTATCATCATTTATCGAAGACTAAAAAAGTTGTTTTTGATATAGTTCCATAGTGTCAGTGGAATAGATTATCTAGCGCTGCCTCTACGTAGTAGAAATAAATGTAGGAAGACTTTGTGTTAGTCTAGTTGATCTTCTGATGTCAAAAGTGATTATAATGTAATTAATGTAATGTAGAGTTATTACAGAAAAGGCTTTTAGATGAGCATATAAACCTTTCCTTTTTATTCAATATAGTACGACCACTGGTTTGGAGAAAACCTCTGTCCTGAGAAGAACCAGCAAAAAACCCAGCGGGTCATTTCTTTTAAATAGAGTTAATTTACAATATTTTACTTAATATACCAATGAAAAAAAAACAGACCACAGCCAAGAACTACAAATTTCACTGAGACTAATTTAGTAACTGAGAATAATAATTAATTCGTTTCCACAAATTAATTATCCAATGAATCGAGGATGAGCTGGTAGCGGAATACAATGTGTGTAGTAACTGGCCTGGAGAAAACCTCTGTCCTGGGAAGAACCAGCAAAAGACCCAGCAGGTCATTTCTTTTAAATAGAGTTAATTTACAATATTTTACTTAATATACCAATGAAAAACACAGACCACGGCTAACAACTACAAATTGCACTGAGACTAATTTAGTAACTGAGAATAATAATTAATTCGTTTCCACAAATTAAATCATCCGATGAGTCGAGAATGAGCTAGTAGCGGAATACAACAAGTGAATTGTGCCACGCCAGAGCTAAGACTCTCCTAACGGCGACAGCTCCATCCGTTTTATACAAGCAATACAAGTAGCGAAACAAGCGCTACTGCAAGTGCAACGCGCAGTAGTGCGGTGCAGGTGTTGTTTACAAGAATTTTGGCTAGCTACAGAGACACCGCCGCACGTGCAACAGCGCTGGCGCCTAAATATAGATTACTTATAATCAGTAGAGGTTGAGGATAATTCTCGGTTTGGACTTTTTTATATAAAGTTACACTCTTATTATTTTTCCTAATTACCAAACCAAAATAGTATGCCCGCATGTATGGGAAATTAGAAAAGTAACTACTTTCGTAAACGCTTGTACTGTTACATCTGGTCATAACAAGTTATCAATGAAACATGTACCTCGCTTTGAGAAATTTTAAATAAAATGTGAATATTTTCGGCTTATAAATTCGTATGAATAACTGTTTCTATTATTTATATACCACAACTATCATTTTCTATTTCCTTTTTATAATGTATATCAGTGGAATGCCGTACAAAAGGTCGGTCGTTATCAAAACGTGAACTATAAAAGAATGACTTTTATAAAATGCTTCCACAACCATAACAATGAATACCATGTCTGCAATTTCATGAATAGGATTGCGTTCATAAAATTTTCTTTAGAATACAAAACATCCATTTAAATACTATTTGCTGAATATTCCGTTACGGTACTCGGGAGAAAAGTCTAACCAATATTATCTCACTAATATTGTAATAATTTGAAGAAGGTGACGGTTCCGTGTTGCAGTGGTTTAGCAACGAGTTTCAGCGCAGGGCGACGCGGGTTCGAATTGTGAATGGTAGAAGTATTTGTATGTCCTTCAAATATATTTTCCTGGTCTGGATGTTTGTCCTCGTGAAATTTATGTAGTAAACTGCCTCCACGATACAGGAGAATATCCTAATGTAATGTAAAGTTAAAAAAAAGAATAGGATATGGAGTACCGGGCTTTCTTTCTCTTCTTCACCACCGCACGGCAACAACGTGAAAAACATATGACAAGTCCTTAGTACATGCATCTTACAACAATAGTCTGTTTGCAGGATCATGACGAGGAGAAATTATATTATCATTGTATCTTTGTATTCTTATATTGTGTCCAAAGCTGTAACATCCTTTACCGTGATTAAAATAAAACAGATGCACAAAATTAAATTAAATAACTTCCACATGATAGCTTCGGAAGTCGGTGCTAAAACATATTCTATCGAAGAATTAACTAAGAAGTAAAGCTCTATATACCTTCACCATTACAGCCTATTAACGTTCACAGCTGAACATAGATCTTCCCCATAGACTACCCCCTAGGAGGGGGGATATATAGATAGTTTCTGCACTTGGCAAGCGGGTGGGCAACCACGGTTTTTTATTCGTCTTTAGGAAGATGCTGCTGCCCATCTCCTGATTGGTTTCACTCTGTCGCCTCTTACGACACCCACAGAAGAGGTAGTACATGTTGATACACCCTTTCTAAACTGTAAATACCTACCGTTACACTAAAGTCTAAAGATTATCTTAAGTTCAAGGTACTAGATATAGAGTTAGGTACTAGAGTATCGTCTAATTAGGTAAATTATAAAGTCTTCTTCCCATATATTTCTACCTTTTGTAAAATAACTTTTTTTTATTTTTTTATTAATTTAATAAGCCTTACCAAGTAAATACATATAGAAACAATTATTATGAGATGCACTTAAAAAAATTGTATATATGCATTTAAATTAAAGGTAAACACAACATATAATAAAAGACTTCCTTTAAGGAGAACAGTAACCTATAAAACTATTACTACAATAAAATAATAAAATTAGAACAAACAAAAAAAACCTATCTTATATAATGTATAAATGGAAAAAAGAGAGGAAGTACAAAAACTTTTAAAATGAAAAAATTATTTGGCTGTGTAATGTGTAGTACCTTCCTCTTTAAAACATTTAAGCTATCAAAATGGATATCCACATCACAATTTTGAAATGTTCAATTAAATGCATTCAACAAGGATGATAAAGGCGTGTTTCTGCCATATTCATTTAGACTCTTTTTAATATGAAACGGTTTGTAGTTATGTAGACGTGCACTAATTCTTAGAACAGTGATATCGATATCAAGTAAGAGAGACCGACAGTCAATTTTAATTAAGAGCTTATGCAAGAAAGTTATACTTAATACATCCTTACGCCTTTCTAAAGGTATCATATGATAATGCTCAAATCTTTTCTTATAGCTATTAAAAGTAACTTCAATGTAACTGAGTCTAGTTAACATTTTTTTTGTACCTTTTCTATACGTTGTATATTGTTTTGATAACTGGGATACCAAACAAAGGAACAGTAGTCTATATTGCTACAGATCAACGCGAAACAGAGGGCCTTTAAAGCTGGTATAGACTTAAATTCTGTAGTGTTAAGAGAGATGAATGTTATTAATCTATTACACTTATTTATTGTGATATCAATATGACGTGTGAATCTCATTTCGGAATCAATGTTTAGGCCTAAATCTTTAACATATTTTACTTGATTAAGACGAGTATCTGCAATATAGTAATTAGTCTCGAATTTTTTATATTTCCTTGAAAATTTTATGTGGTGACATTTTTTTTACATTGAGTTCCATCTTATTACATTCATACCATTTACAAAGATCGTTAATATCGCTCTGTAATAGTAACTGGTCCTCCGTGCACTTAACGGTTCTAAAAAATTTCTGATCATCGGCATATAATACAAACTGACTGTTATTTAATACATGTTTTATGTCATCTATAAAAAAAAAATTGGACCCAGGGCTGAACCCTGAGGAACTCCAGAAGTAGCTTAAAATATGTGAGATAAAAATCCGTTTACAACAACCCTCATTACTCTATTTTCTAAATAGGATTCAAACCATCTCAAAAGACATCCGTCAATAAAAAAAAGTTTTTAAGTTTAGCCAGTAATATTTTATGGTCCACTTTGTCAAAGGCCTTGCTAAAGTTGGTGTAAACGGCATCAACCTCATTGCCATTACTTAGTTCGGTTAAAACCTTTTCGACAAAGAACATTAAGTTGGTTGTTGTTGAACGCTTCGCAAATAAATCATGTTGATAGTCACTCAAAAGTTGTTTTACGTGCCAATTTAAATGGTTACTAACAAGAGATTCAAATATTTTTGACAAAATGGAAAGTATGCTGATAGGTAGATAATTACAGATATCACTGATACTTCCGGATTTATGGATTGGTAAAACGATAGCCTCTTTCCATACGTTTGGAAAAATGCCTTCCGAGATAGATCGGTTGTAAATTAAATGTAGTGGTGTCGACAATATTTTAGCACATTTTTTTATGAATATTGGAGGTAATCCATCAAAACCGGCTCCTTTATTGGTATTAAGTCTAGAAAGTTTAACTTCAATATCCTTTTTAGGTATTTGTACATAATTCAGATTAAGAGAATTTGTCACACTGTCGTTAACTCTCGAGTAAGACTTATCTTGGACTTTGGAGGGTTTGTTATAAACAGATTCAAAGTGCTCAGCAAATAAGTTAGCAATACCACTACCGTCATTAGCACCTTTGTTCCCCAGTTCCATTTCCTTAGGGATCAAGTCATTATTATTACGCTTATTCTTTATCTAAGACCAAAAATATTTCGGATTATTTAAAATATTTCTTTGCACATTATTTATGTAGTTGCTGTAACTCTTATTAATTAGAGTGTTTGCTCTTTTTTCTAACAACTCATATTCGTATAGGTCACGATTGTTTTGATATTTTTTCATTTTTTGCGG